CCCCTTCCCGCACCCACACGCCAGGAGCCTGTCGCAGCTCCGCAGTCACCTCTGGGCCCGGGTGTCCCACCCTCTCCTCCAGGGCGGCCCAGACTCTGTCCTCAGCCCGGTGGATGACACCGCGAGGTGTCTACGGACAGGGAAACCGAGGCAGGGCGTCTACCCCGCAACTGATACTGCTCCCCGACTGTCCCCGCCCCGGGCCGCTGCAGACTCCGCCCCACGCGTCACTTCCTCCGCGGCCACCGGCCGGGCTGCAACCCCGGCTGCAGGCCATGGTGGCTCTGGACGACCCTGACGGCGGCCCGGAGGCGACCCCCGGCGCGGAAGCCAGGCTGTGAGCAGAGCTGGGGGGCTGGGCCTCTTCCTGTGCGTCCTCCTCCCCCCAGGCTGGGGTCTTCTCCTCCTCATCCCCAGGCTGGGGTCTCCTCCTCCTCCCCAGGCTGGGCTCTCCACCTCCTCCTCCCACACTGGGGTCTCCTTCTCCCTAGGCTGGGGTCTCCTCCTCCTCCACCTCCTCCTCCCCACGCTGGGGTCTCCTCCCTCTTCCTCTTTCCCCCAGACTGGGTCTCCTCCTCCTCCTCCGTCCCAGGTTGAGGTCTCCTCCTCCTCCCCAGGCTGGGGTCTTCTCCTCTTCCTCCCCAGGCTGGGGTCTCCTCTTCCTCTCCAGGCTGGGGTCTTCTCCTCTTCCTCCCCAGGCTGGGGTCTCTTCCTCTTCTTCCTCCTCCTCCTCCTCCTCCTCCTTCTCCTCCCCAGGCTGGGGTCTCCTCCTCTGCTCTCTCCTCCCTGTTCTCCTCCCCAATTCCCCCTCCACCCACACCCCTTTCCCTGGCTACTCACCACAGACAGCCCCCCCCACCCCTGCTCTGTGGGAATCCCCCGCTCTATGGGACCTCCTGCTCTATGGGGAGGTTGCTAACCTGGCCCAGCATCTGGGATTTTGCCATTCACTCCCCTTCGTGCCCCAGTGACTGAGCCGGCACCAAACTGGAAAGCCAAAGCTGCTAGCCACCCTCTGACGGTTCCCATCCCCTCTGCTGCCCTGGCAGTGGTCACTCTGTGTCTCTGAGGGTCAGTTCTCAAAATGGTGGGAAGTGGTCTATCCTGGAACAGCATGTGTGGCACCCTAGCTTATGTGGCTACCCAGGAATCCGGGTCTTGTGACCCCTAGCCCTGTGTGACAAGAGCTGGTTTGGCCTTTGGGCAGCTGCTGAGCCTTCCTGTGCCTTCACCACCCCCACCAACACCCCACTGTGAATGATGTGGACAGAGGCTTCCATTCCAAGTTGGGAATGGAAATGGGAACCACACAGGACATGACAGGTCCCACAAAGCCCTGCTCCCATAGTGTCTAGCAATCAGGGGTCCTATTTGGTTCCACCTTTGCCTATTGGGTTCATTTTAATTTAATTTTAACAATATTTTATTTTTACGTTTTTGGGCATTGTGAGAGAGAGAGAGAGAGAGAGTGTGTGTGTGTGTGTGTGTGTGTGTGTGTGTGTAGTACCTGTGGAGGCCGAAAGGGGGTGTTGGGTCCCCAGAATTGGAGTCACAAGCAGTTGAGAGCCCCCTGTGGGTGCTGGGAACAGACCTTGGTCTTCTTCAGGGGCAGTGCCCATGCGTGCTGCATGCGTGCCTGCCTACGCTAACTGCTGAGCATCTCTCCTGTCCTTGTTCTGTTTTGTTTGTTTGACTCAGGGTCCCAGGTAACCCAGGCTGGCCTCAGGCTCTCTGGTAGCCGAGGATGACCTTCAGCTCCTGATCCTCCCTGACTCAGCCTCCTGGTGGGACCTTGCCCAGCTATCTCGAGTGTCCTTGCTGTGACTCTGGTGTAAATAAGTTTACATTTTGGTGAATTACTTCCCAACAGGGCCTCACCCAGGTGTCCACCTGCCTGCTGGGTGTTGGGGGCGCTGAGTCACCTCCACCTTGCTTCCTGTTAGGGAACTGGGTTTCTCTGCTGTTCCGGGAGCGTTTGCCAAATAAGCTGTGTTGTGCCCAGGGTGTGTCTTGACAAGCCAGAGACCCATTGCCCAACCAGCAGAATGCAAAAAAAGGATTGTGTTCCCCAAACCCTTACTGACTTAGCACCGTCTGTCTTGTGTTGTAGCCGCTCCACCCAGGTGCTGGTCACATTCTGAGGTCTCAGACACTTCCTCTGACTTCTTAACTTTAATTTCTGTGAAGTGGTCTGGTTATGGGGAAAGGCACATTCATTCAACAAACTCTAGTGTTTAGTTTATTCATCAGTCCCATTGCTTGTAGTCTGCCTGCTGGTCACTTGGGAAGCACAGTGAGCACATAAGTAGTAAACAGCTTGGACCATCTGGTTCCCAGTTGGCAGAGCTTTGAGAAGTGCTGATTGGACTGCCGTGCCACCTTCTGGGAGGTGACATTTGGACAAAGATCAAAATCTGGCAGGACCAGGAAAGGCATTCCTGGCAGAATTTGCACAAGTTTGAATTCAGGGAACAGTTCTGTTTCCAGGGGCCCTTGGAGCCCACAAAAGGGTGTCGATGTCTCCAAAGCCCTTCTCTAGAACTGAGCAGTGACCATCTGCTGCTGGCCAAGGAGCATGGAGGGCTCACTCTAGCAGCACTAGGGAGCTAATGATTGGCCACCTGGTGGCCTTTGGGCTGAGTGAGCTCAGCTGTCCAAGTTGGGACCCAGGTTCCCCTACTGCATCAGTCTGTCCTTCCTGCAGGACAGCTGTGGTTTGTTATCAGCCGGCACCAGCCGCCAGGGTGTGGCTTTGAGTGCCTAGGGGTGAAGCAAGGGCAGAAGTGGCTCACAGAAGAGTTCACAGAAACTTGGTAGCTGGACTAGTAGTTACCTCCTGTGGGGGGCCTCGGGTAGTTTCCCTTTTCAGCCCAGCCCCTGGTGGCCTGGGGACAGGGACCCCACCAGAACTGAAGCAAGAGAGCCTGGCCCTACATAGCCCCAGGATGGACCGCCTGGGGCCTGGTGGCTGAGCCTGCTACTCTCCCTGGTCTGTGTGGGGCTCCCCCAAGCCCACTGCTTGGCCACCTGTCCTCCTGTGGCTCTTGCCCTGCCTTGCTGAGCAGAGCTGTGGTTCCTGAGTGCTCCTTGCAGGGTTAGCACCATCTTCAGGAGTTAGCTCTGGCAGACTCCAGAAGGCGATTGACTAGTTTCCATCAGTTCCTGCCCCTGTCAGCTTGAGATCCTGCAGCTCTTGGCTCTTTTCTGGTTTCCAGGGCATGGGGAGATGGTCCACTTCTGGGGGGGTTGGCATCCAACCCCTGGAGTACATGGGGGCCTTGATGGCTTGTGGCTTAAGTAGGGGGGATTGGGGGTGGTTGAGGGCCACCACTCTGTGTGACTAGAGCTCATGCCTTCCCTTCTTGGAGCCTCAGTTTACCCCTCTTGCATCATAACCAGTGTCCTGAAATTCCTTGGGGCCCAGGTCTCCACACACAGGAGCCTGGAGTGTGTGGGGGAGGGGGTAAGGTCAGCGTTGCCAGGGACACTAAGGCCCCTGATGAACCCCTCCCTGGCCCGCAGGCCCCTTCCAGGCTGCCTGCCCACGCTCGGTGGTTCACAGGTGAAGAGGGTCTCAGCTTCCAGGCGCAAGCAACATTTTATCAACCAAGCTGTACGGAATTCGGACCTGGTGCCCAAAGCCAAGGGACGGAAGAGTCTGCAGCGTTTGGAGAACAGTAAGCAGGGAGTGGGGTGTGTTTACTTTACTCTTCCCTGGCTGTGAAGCACACACCAACCAGGCATTAGAATAAGGGCTTCAGAGTTTGGTAAGGCAAGAGAGCTACATGGGGTTCTAGAGACTGGCTAGGTGAAAAAAAAAAAAAAGAAAAAAAAAAACAAAAAAAAACTTGACAGTGGAAGTGAGTAGGGACCTCAAAAACTGCCTCAACATGGGCCCTGTTTCCATCCAGCCCGGTACCTCCTAACACTGCTGGAGACAGCTGGGGGTCCTCCAGGCCTGGAAGATGGGGACCTGACTCCTCCTGCAGCACCTGGCATCTTTGCAGAGGCTTGCAGTAATGCCACCTATGTGGAGGTGAGACCCTGGGGCCCCTGGCAGCCCGAGATGTGCCCAGCCCTTCCCTGGGTTCATCCGCTCTCCATGTTAGAATAGAGGACGACCAGTTGGAGACTGATACACATGAGAGAATGGCACTGGTGGTGCATCCCACCCTGGTTTCCATGGAGTGAATGGGTCATGCCTGCTGAGTTCCTATGCATCCTTTGGAACTCCAGTTCCAGCATCCAGCTCAGGCCCCACATGTGTGAGGCATCTACAGATGTGCTCAGTGTGCCAGGTGGCCTTGTGTGTCCATTTGTCAACTGGGGAAGCAGACCCAGGAGCCTCAGGACTAGCCTGCATCCCTCTTCCAGGTCTGGAATGATTTTATGAACCGCTCTGGAGAGGAGCAAGAACGAGTGCTCCGCTACCTGGAGGATGAGGGCCAGGGCAAGCGAAGGCCAGGGCGTGGGCCTGGCCGAGGGGAGGACAGGCGGAGAGGTAAGGCCTGGCAGGGGGGTGGGGGGGATGGGTCAGCATGGGTGAGGGCGAGGTCAAGGTGTGTCAGGTGTGGAGGGGAGCCAGGGTGAATTGGATGAGGGCAATGTCAGGACTCAGGTGTTGTGTGTGGGCCGGATGGGGGGTGGGGCCTTGAGTCTGTGAGGCTCCTTGGTCACCTTAGTGGGTACAGGGACCAGTGGGTTCCCTAGTGGATGTGCCCAGGCTCTGTGTGTGTGTGTGTGTGTGTGTGTGTGTGTGTGTGTGTGTGTGTGTGTGTGTGTGTGTGTGATGTGGGTGGGGCCTCCCAGGGTGAGGTCAGCCTGGGAGACAGGGCCTGAGCTCTCCTTCCCCCCCCCCCCCACAGAGGACCCAGCTTTTACACCTCATGAGTGCTTCAGGCGTATCAGCCGTCGCCTGCGGTCCGTGCTCAAGCGCAGCCGCATCCCGATGGTGAGTGGCCCCATCTTCCTCTCAACCTGGCCTTTCCATGTCACCATTCTGACTTGGTGAAGAGGTGGCAGGAGCCATCCTGGTGGTGTGGTTAGGAGGAGGAGGATTGGCTCAGTGCAAGTGGGTACTGCAGAATTTGACAGACAAAAGACAGGGCCAGATCTGTGATGCTTAAGTGCCTGACACCCTTGAAGACAGCTAGGGCACGTCCTGTGGATTTTGTGACCCCCCTCAGCTCTTCCCACTCCCACAGGAAACCCTGGAGAGTTGGGAGGAGCGTCTGCTGGCGTTCTTCTCCGTGTCTCCCCAGGCTGTGTACACCGCCATGCTGGACAACAGGTACAGGAGCTGGGGAGAGGAGGGTGCTCTCCTTCCCCACTCTGGCTCAGTGGCTCATGTCCCTTCCTCTACAGCTTTGAGAGGCTGCTGCTTCACGCCGTCTGCCAGTACATGGATCTCATTTCAGCCAGTGAGTGCCTGCTCCCACTGCCCCTTCACCCATTCCTCCTGAGGAATCGGGGGCCATGGGGCCCAGCCCCAGAAACGGATGTGTTGTGTGGGTTCATAGCAGAGCCATGGCTGTGGGGCTCTGGTAGTTATTTAACTCATGAAGAGTGTGCTCTGGTGTCCAGTGGGCAGATACCCTCCATCCACAGCTCCAGGGAAGAGGAACCAAGGTGAGGCTGGTAAGGCCTGCAGTTGAGGGTCTATCCCAGACCTGGAGAGGAGACAACAGGTTCCCAAATCCACAGGCCTTTGTCTTCCATTTTCTTGTGTATGCAATGCTGCCTCCTTCCAGGGATGGTTGTCAGCAACCTTGGTAGCTCCAGGTACCCCATCTGGTCCTTCCCTTTCTTTCTACCTGTCTCTGCCTCCTGCTTGGAGTTGCTGTGGTGACAGTTTCCATGGCAGCCCGGGGAATTGGTTCCTCTGGTTTCCCTCTGTGGTAGAATGAAGCGGCCTCCACACCTGGCTCTTCTCAGGGACTTGAGAATGGAGAGGGCTTAGTGTGGGGCAAGCTTCTCTGTAGGGACTGTAGGACTGGACGGAGCGGGTGCCCCTGGACAGGGGAGTCACAGCTAGCCTCACACCCCTCCAACCACCCAGTTTCTTTTGTTGGTCTTGGGTGCTTGGGTATAGCCTAGGCTAGCCTCCAGTGCATCCCATGAATAGCCATATGCACAGGTTTCTGTGCATGCGGTCCTGAACCTCCTGCCTGCATGGCTTCACCTGCGCTAGGGGAGCCCTCTGGCCCAGCTCCTGCAGTCCTCCTCACATTGTTTGTCCACAGGTGCTGACCTGGAGGGCCGGAGGCAGATGAAGGTCAGCAACCGTCACCTGGACTTCCTGCCTCCAGAGCTACTATTGTCTGCCTACCTGGATCAGCAATGATGGTGGAGCCCCTACCTGCTGACTCGCCCTGCCGAGACCTCCAATGTCTGCTAATTTCTTGCATACTTTCAGAATCAGAACACCCCCACTTCTCTTCGGGAGTCCCCCTTGCCCCTACCCCTTCATGGCCCAGCTTGCACAGGGCAGCCTCGTAGCCCCCTGCTCTGGTACTTGTGTTTGGGTGGGGAGACCTGAGCTACGCTTTTTCATGCTTATTCTCTGTTTAGCTTTTCTTTGGCTGAAGTCTGAAGCTCAGGCAAAGTGACCAGACTCTTTTACCCCTGCACTCCACCCCCCCATCAGTTTTGGCATGTTTGGGATAGGTTTGCTTTAATTTCTCCTCTGAAGCGTTGAGGCACAACTAAAACACCTAGTGCCAGCTGGTAGTGGGTTCTGTTGTGACCCCTGCCTGACCCCTCCAGGTTTCAGCTCTGATGGAGGTGTCTGGTCCTCTCTAGGACTCAGCTGATCTCCCCAGGGCACTTTGTCGTGTGTGTGTGTGTGTGTGTGTGTGTGTGTGTGTGTGTACATGCCATGGGCCTGGTGAACCTGGACAAGCTTCATCTCAAGGGCTGATTTTATGCTTTTTTGTGATGTGTGTTTCGTGTCCCCGACTCCCTGGGCTCTGCCTGCCCTTCAGATCCTCCTCCTGTTAACACTTATACCTGGGTCCAGGACTTCCAGCCAGAAGCCTCTGACCTTGTGTGTTGTCCTCCTCCCTGTCCCCTCTGCCACCCAGCATAGCTGTGGTCACTGCAGAGGCTCCATGGGCCCGCCTCCTCCCCTTTTGTGTGGTTCTTTGTGCTTGGGGGAAAGGGACACTTTTAATAAAGCCTTGGTGCTCAGGCCTTGACTGTTTGTGTCTTGGGGTTTGGTGGGGAAGTAACAGGTCACCGAGGGCTGGGGGCCGGAAATCTGGACACACAGGGCAAAGTGCAGTCTTGATTCTTTAGTTCATTTTAAAATGTGTAAAATACTTAAAGGTGGGATGCCAGGCTGTGGCTCAGTGGGTAGAGTGACTGATTTCGTAGCATGCTCAATTCCATTCCCAGCACCATATACCCTGAGTTTGAGTCTAACTTGGGCTACATGTCTTTTGGGACAGGGTTTCTCTGTGTAGCTCTGGCAGTTCTGGAACCTTCTCTATAGACCAGGCTGGCCTCAAACTCAAGAGATCTGCCTGCTTCACCCTCCCGAGTGCTGGCACTAAAGGTCCAACAACAGACCTCTGCGTCTCATGTAGCCCAGGCTAGCCTCAAACTCACAGTGTCAGATCCTGTCACACAAAAGTAAAAACAAAAATCCCAAATTTAAATAACAATAAATAACAGCTGAACTCATGACTTGATGGTGCACAGCTGTTCTGGAGGCTGAAAGAAGAATCTTAACCTCAACAGTGTGAGGCCAACCTGAACTACATAGCCCGTGTCTCAAAAAGCAAAGGGGAAAATTTAGTTAAGTCACTTACGTGGGGACTAATTTCGCCATCAGTGAATATGCGGAAGATAAGCTATACATAAACTAATTTCAGAAGAGAGATGTAGGAGTATGCTTTGGTGTTTCTGAGGGTGGGCAAAATATGGAACGCTTCACGAATTTGCGTGTCATCCTTGCGCAGGGGCCATGCTAATCTTCTCTGTATCGTTCCAATTTTAGTATATGTGCTGCCGAAGCGAGCACAAACAGCTGCTTTGTCCAGGCAGTATTTATAGGCTCTAAATTCAAGCCCTTTATCGTTAGGGTGAGTACAGTTTCCTTACGAAAGTTTTAGTACTTCTCTCCTGTCTTTTACAGAAGACCAAACCTATAATGTAAGATATAGCTAGTGATCAGAAATGACAGATTACTTGTCTTTTTTCGTACATACAGCTGCAATGGTTACTAGGAATTATTGTATGCAAATTAGCCGAGTAGAGGGTGGAGCCTGGGTTCTCCCAGAAGTCTGTGCGAGGGGCCGGCACGAGCGGAGAGATGGCGGCCCCGGATCCCGGGCGTTGGGGCGAATGTGGATCGCGGCAGCCCGGCCGACTGGGCGCTCGGAGCGGACAGGTCAGTGCCAGGATGCGGAACGCGTGACCGGCACAATCCGGGCGAGGACCACGAGCGGAAGGCCGAGGGGCGGAACTTGCGGGGTCAGAGGGCGGGCCGGGGAGCAAAGCTTCCTGGGTAGCGGACTGGGTGGAAGGGGCGTGGTCAGGACCGGTGCTTGAGGAGAAGCCTGAGGCGACTAGGCCGGGGAGGGGGCGTGGCCTGAGGATGGGACTGTCTGAGGGGGCGTGGCCTGAGGCAAAAGTTGAGCTGAGAGGCGGAGCCTGAGGAAATGAAGCTGCTAGAGAGGGGCGTGGCCTAGGGAGCAGAGTCTGAAAGAGTGGGGCGTGGCCTGAGGATCTGGGACTGATGGAGAAGGGGTCCTTGGCCTGATAACCCGTAAGAAGAGGGGCCTGAAGCTGGTAGTTGGCTTGGGGGCGGAGCCTAGGGCCTTAGAAGGTGTGTGTGGAGCTTAAAGCCCGTGGTGGGGCCTGGTTGAGGCACATGGGTATGTGTGTTAAGTCTCAGGATTTAGGTCTTGGGCGAAGCTTTGGGGGCGGGGCGTGGGACTGAACTTGGAGTGGGTGCGGCCTGTTTGTGGAGGGTGCTTAGTGCTTGGAGGCTGAGCTTAGGCTGAGGTCTGGGTGGGTGATTAGGTGGTATGGAGGGTGCTTTAGGCTCCAAGGGCTGGAGAACTCTCTAGAGCCACTTTAGCCAGGACCTCGCTGTTCCGCAGGAGCCAGGGACTGTGCTGGGTGCTGTGGGCATAATGGAACTGGTCTACGTGTGCGAGTGGGAGAACTGGGCCAAGAACACGTACTGCCCGTCGCTGCCCCTGGCCTGCGCCTGGTCCTGCAGGAACCTCATCGCCTTCACCACGGACCTCCGAAATGATGACCAGGGTGAGTGTCGGTCCATAGAGGTGGACTGTGCCGGGTTTGGATCCACCCTACCTCAGATTTCCAGACACAGTGTGTCCCGGTTTGAAAGGCTCATGGTGGCAGAGCCAGGCTCCCTGTTGCCAGGGAAAGCAGTCATATACCAGTCACTGTCCTCCGACTCTAATGTTGGTTATGGCTGCACTGGATAACCCTCCCCGGGGGATAAGTGGCATGGAGGGGCACTCAGGGAGAGGGGAAATGGGCGTGGGAATCCTGGGACACTGTGAGCCACACCGACCTCACCTGTTCTCCTTCCATCGCAGACCTGACACATATGATCCATATCCTAGACACCGAACATCCCTGGGAAGTGCACTCTGTCAACTCTGGCCACAGCGAGGCCATCACCTGCCTGGAATGGGACCAGTCAGGTGATGCCACGAAGTTCACTCTCATTCCAGAGCCCTGAGCAGCATGGGCTGCCTTCTTCAGTTCTCAGTCCTAAATCCAGAGTCACTGGGAGTCCAGAGTGTGGGGGCAGGGGGTGGCAGTCAACCTGCCCCTCAGGAGGGTTCCTGATGGCACTCTGTCACCACAGGCTCACGGCTCCTGTCAGCCGATGCTGACGGGCATATCAAATGTTGGAGCATGGCTGACCACTTGGCCAACAGCTGGGAGAGCTCAGTGGGAAGCCAGGTGGAGGGGGACTCCATCGTGGCGCTGTCCTGGCTGCACAACGGCGTGAAACTGGCCCTGCACGTGGAGAAGGTGAGGGGACTTACGTGTGGCGGAGTTGTGAGTGACCAACCTGTCTCTCCCTTGCCGCTGCCAGAATTCTCTGTCATGTGCCAGGCCTGTTTGCGTGGGATACCTGTCAGTAACTGCCATCCGTGAGCTCCTGTCCCCAAGAACATGCTTAACTACAGCTATTGTCCCCCTGAGCCTCCCCTTTCAGTGATGGGATGATGGTCCCTATAGAGTGACCCTGTTCCACAGGCAGCTGCATCCAATGGTGTCCTGTTTTACAGATGACTGCTATGTGGTCTTCAGACCCCACTCTACTGTGATTTAATGACGACCACAATTCCCCTATCCATGTGTATTCTGGAGTTCAACCAGTGAGGAGTGAGCACCAACAGACATCTGAGATGTCTGTTTCCTCGGAGGTAGATGCCTTTGAGGAAGGGGGCATGGCCAGGTCCTTGGGGACCAGCAGCTTCCACACACCTGCTGAGACCACGCCTACATGTGGCCACTCACCAGCTCCCACATCATGACATGGAGACCAATTAGTTATGAATGCTCTGCCTTAGCTTAGGCTTGTCCCACTAGCTTTTTTTGTTTGTTTGTTTTCTGGACAGGGTTTCTCTGTGGCTTTGGAGCCTATCCTGGAACTCGCTCTGTAGACCAGGCTGGTCTCCAACTCACAGAGATCTGCCTGCCTCTGCACCACACCACCACCACCATCTGGCTCCCACTAGCTTTTTTTTTTTTTTTAAGATTTTTATTTATTTATTATGCATACAAAATTCTTCTTTTATGTATATTTGCACACCGGAAGAGGGCACCAGATCTCATAAGGGATGGTTGTGAGCCACCATGTGGTTGCTGGGAATTGACCTCAGGACCTCTGGAAGAGTAGTTGGTGCTCTTAACCTCTGAGCCATCTCTCCAGCCCTCCCACTAGCTCTTATAACTTATTTTAACCTGTTTCTCTTCATCTGTGTTTTGCCTCAGGGCTTTTTACATTTCTTTCATTCTGTATGTCCTACTTTTCTTGCTTCTCTCTGGAAGAGTAGTTGGTGCTCTTAACCTCTGAGCCATCTCTCCAGCCCTC